AAATTTCATCCAATTCAGTTTTAATTTAATTAAATTGGATAAAATTATCGACAAAAAATAATTGATACTTTGAAAAAATATGATAATATCAAATGATTTAATAATAGAAATTGATAATAATTTAACTTGAAATTTAAATTTCATCCAATTCAGTTTAATTTAATTAATTAGGTAAAATTACTGCAAAAAGTAATTGATTTGTATTATTTTAAATGTTTAAACTTTTAAATGTAAAAAAAGAAACAAACTTTAAAATGAATGGTAATTCTGATGCTTTATTAATATGTTTATGAAATAGTCCACGTCCTTCAGCAAACGTAATAAATTGAACATTACGTTTAGCTGATAATGCTGCATCATGTAATTTTTTAGCTAATGATATTGATATCACTTCATCATCAACAGCATGCATTATTAGTATGGGACACGTTATCCTGTAATCTATACGTGAGTGTTAACATAGGTCACGTTATCTAATAATCTATATGTAATCGTTTAACAAAGGATACGTTATTTTGTAATCTATGCATGATTGTTAACATGGGTCACGTTATCCAACAATCTATACGTAAGCGTTAACAAAGGACACGTTATTTTGTAATCTATACACGAGTGCTAACATAGGTCACGTTATCCTGTAATCTATACGTAAGCGTTAATATGGGACACATTATTCTGTAATCTATACGTGAGTGTTAACATGGGTCACGTTATCCAGTAATCTATACGTAAGCATTTAACAAAGGACACGTTATTTTGTAATCTATAACATGAGTGTTAACATGGGACACGTCATCCTATAGTCTATACGTGAGTGTTAATATAGGACACGTTATTCTGTAATCTATACGTAAGCATTAATATACGTTATTCTGTAACATTAACTTAGCTAATATCAATAACTTATATGGCTATAACAAAAGTTAATTTTTACTTTCTAATATAAATTAAAAAAAAATGAAAAGTTTACATCATATGTATATAACAAGGGATAGTTTCCCGTAGAAAGTTCATTTTTACGTTGTACTCTTAAATAACGTTTCTTTCACGCGTAAATTTGTTATTTTATTGTCAAATTTTCTGGTAACCTTCAAAGTATGCTAACATTTAATTAATTCCATAATTATACTACTCTTATTACGATTATGCAAATTATGATCGATTAAAATTTAACTATAGTAGGCAAATTTAATTAAGATTTCAATAAATTTTAATAATAATTAAATTTGATTTAAAACTTGGAACAAAAAAAAAATTTACAATTTAATATTTCTATCAGAATAAAAATAAAGGCCAGCACGTGGTATGGATTGTTTAACGAATACATTAAACCAAGGTGTCCAACGCCATGCTGATAATTCTGATGATTGTGTGATAACATCGATGACATTATTAAAAGGTGCTTCCAGAATTACACCTGTTGGCGGTATATGTTTCATACTTAATTTCATTGCTACAGCAATTGCAATCCTTTGGAATAAAAATTTCACATTATGATAATTTATCATTTAAAAAAAATAAATGAATAAATAAACCTAATCAAGTAAAGAAAAATTTTGTCTATTATCTATGATCATTCACCCGAATATCAGGGAAATCTCTCAGATATTCCAATATGTATGATTAAGATTTCCGGGCAAAAATCAATAAACTTCTCTTAAATATGATAAAATTAATCATTAGGAGCAATTTCGTTTTAATTAATTAATCTGGTAAATTCTTTTGGTCGAGATAAAAATATGAGGATTATTTAAATATGCAATTAAGTATAATTGTTATATTAATTTTTTTTTTTGTATGATAATTTTCGAATTCTTTATCATTTCTTGTTTCCTAATTTACTTTAATTTATTTATTTTAAATTGAGTTATCGAATAAAATCCATTGGATAATAG